ACTGCTCCTTTCCGAGCAACTTAAGACCATGTTCTATATTTCTTCTCGGTGCATTTTAATTATTTAATATTCCCCTCTGTGCATTCCAACTTTATATGTCTTTCTATCTCCCTTCCCATTTCTTTTCCACTCTTTCTTTTGAAATAATGATTATTTTTAGAAGTAAATGATATGAAATACATTGTTTGAAATGTGAGGAGTAACTGAAAGTGATAAAAAGCATAAAAAGCATAATTTCTCTCACCCATAGTCTCCTTTATTGACATGGTCAATTAATTCTGGTTCAACAAGGCATACATGCTGGGAACATTTCCACTGCTGTCCTGAGCATGTGCTGCAAAGACATAAAAATTAAAAAAGTGTCCTGGCCTTTATGGAGTACATTTACAAAATTAGTAACCAGAATTGTACATTGTTAAGACATAAACCATATTTTGATTAATGGTAGCCATGTGCCTATTTGATTTTTGGCAAAAAAAAAAAAAAAAATGATAACACACGTATCAGCTACAATTCAATATGTTCTTATCTTCTAATCCAGGGAAAGAATAAATTGACTATACATTAAAGTCAATTAAAGTCATACTATAATTGACATTCATTAAAGTTGAAAAACACAAGACAATTTAGACTTTAGAGTCACTGTATTTGTAATAGGAAACTTTCTACAGGATAATCCTTTTAAGGCAATCTGTTTTTATATATAGTTACTTTGTTTAAAAACACACACATGCACACAATTTGCCTGTAATATGTCAGAATGTTTATGATTAAGAGGCATATTTAATGCAGTTCTGCTGTATGATAAAGGCCCACTGTCATGAACATCAAACTCAAGCAATAAAAATATATTCGAGATTAGATTTTTCAACATTCATTAAAATTTTATATGCTTATTAAAAAGCTACAGATATGTGACACTTTGACTTATAATTCTATCTGTATTTAAGTATACATTTTGTTTCACAGATATTCCTTTTATTTGAAGAACACACACAGACAGTAGAATTCAGTTCTGTGTCATTTAAATTCATTACCAGGAGTTGCAGTTTTCTTTAACTACTGATCCTTCTTCATAATGTTGACCATCTCTGAGGCAACCTGTCAATATAACATGTAAATAAATGAAATTTCTAAATAGAATAATAAAGTATGTTAACACAAGTAACCTAAAATTGTGTTTAGTTTTTCAATTATGCAAAAATATGTAGTGTAGATCTGATGTAAATGCACATCTGATTTGTGTCAAGGTTTATATATTGAATTCTTTTGGGCTTAGTCCATGAGCTTTTATCTTTAAACTGTATATTGTATTCCAACAGAGAAGATCTGTATAGCATGAAAACTAGATTACCAAGGAATTAATCACTAACCACGCTCAAAAAATAAGGTGTTTAAGTAGGTAAGCAATAAAACAGTGATTGAATAAATATATGTCATTTCTCATTTTTAACCCATTTCCTGTCTTCCCTGAGAACACTCACGGGAGGTGCTTGTGGCTGCAGTGTTTACCCTGAGATAACTCGTGGATTACATTCTTAACCATACTCCCAAAATTTGCCATGAAATATCTCACTTTTATTATTTTTGCATTGCTCTAGTATATTGATAGTCTTTGGAAACAAATGACGTCATTCTGTTTATAGAATTTTGCTTTTAGTAGTTCAATCATTGAAAATGTGGCATTCCTACACATGATGTTAAATGAATGCTGACAGCGAGTTGCATTTTTTTTTTTTCCTAAACCAGAAAAGGGTTAAAATATAATCAAATCTCACAAGTGAATATGACTAATTACATAAAACTAGAGGAAGGAGCTCAAAGTTTTGGACAAAATATGGAGCTATTTCATTGAATTCTGCTGACAAAGATAAATTTTATTTTGTCTTCAGTATTTAGATCAGGAGAAAAATTTGTAGTAGGAATAAAATTGTAGCCATTTGTGTTCCAAACACAAATGTTTCTTAACTATTAATTGATACTAGTTGTTAACTAGTTAATCAGATTATATAAACTACTCAAAAGAGATCAATGGTGAATCATCATATTATGAAAGTCATCAGTAAGATATTGTGAAAACAGTACCCTGGTTACAAATTAATTCCCTCTCAAAAATGTAACTTATACAAATTTAAAATTCATGCCCAATTAGCAAAGTAGCAAAATTCATTACTTTGTCATGTGAAAACTTTTTTGACAGAAACATTTAATTGACAGATTACATCAGTTGTTCCAATTTAAACAAAATTAATTCTAACTTTTTTGTCATTCATCATAGGGGAAAATCTACACTAATTTAGGAAGCATTCTAAGGGACCTGGTGTAACTATCAGGCACAATATCACAAAAGCAACTTATGGAATTAGCTATCCTCTGATTTTTCAAAGAATTCTTTCAAAGGAAACATTTCACAACTGCCCCTCTTCAGCATGAATTATGTTTTCACAGTCCAATATTTTGCTTCATAAATCTAAAACCTCTACGTATTTGTGTCTATCACCTCACGTGGATTTTTGACATTCCACACAAGAATGAAATCCACCTCCTTCCTGGACCACAAACTTCTCAATCTAGTCAACTCAGGGGAAGGGGAAAATTCAACTTTAAATCAGGTTCACACTTTTCGTTACTACTCAGGACTAGACACTTTTAATAAATGAATTTATACTACATTTGCAACCTAAAGAGACCCTAGAACATTTTATTACCTAGGAGCAATAGAAGATTCATGCAACAATTTGAGTTTTCATTCAAAGTCAAAGGAAGTACTTCCCTAACTAGTTTTAAAGGGTGAGTGGGGACAAATCGAAGCTGATTTTTAATCATCCCCATGAATTTTGCATATCCAACATAGATAATAGATACATAGATAAAGGGAACAGAACAGAAATCACAAAGGTCTTAAGGATAAAAGACTTTTTCTTCTCTGACCTGTATTCTAGCTAACAGTTTTAGAGTCAAGAGAATGCTATCACCAGGCTTACCTAAAACAATTAGTACTAAATTAATATTAGCAAAAGTTTCATTTCTTGGTCATCTTTCCTTAATATTAAGTCAGAGTTGACTATAAAAAAACTGTGTTTACTATAATCTCACTTGAACACAAACCATAATCAGTTGATCCAAGGCTGGTCAAGGTGCTGACAAAGTAGAGAACTGGTTTCTACACAATTCAGAGACACAGTCCATTTATTTCCTATACCTCTACTCAACTCAATGCATTCCCCATTTCTTACACAGGATTTAGAGAGAGATTTTTATATCCACGTTATATCATTTCCTGCTTAAAATTCTCAAGTTATTCCCTATCCAATTTAGAATAAAACCAAATTTCTTACAGTGACTTATAAGACCTTACCCAAAATGGCTCTGCCTTAATCTCTGCCCACATCACTACTGTTGTGTGGGCTAGGGTAGGGTTTTCAGAAAAATAAAGGATTTGCTAATGCAAATCCTAGTAGTGAGGATGAGAGAAGTGGATGGACATAATTTGGAGGTAAAGCAAATAGGACTTGCTCATGGACTGAGCTTGAGGAATAAGAAAAAAGGGGAATCAAGGATGTCTCACTAGGATTTTGGCTTGAGCAATAGAGGGACGATGAAGCTCTTACAGAAATAAGAAATAGGCTTATGGTAAGAACATCAAGAATTCTGCTTTACATATTTCAGATTTAGATTAAATCTAGGTTAGCCATTCTAATGGAGAATGTCAAGTGGATTAGTTTATGAAAATCCAGAGTTAAATCAAGGGTAAAGCATAAGTTTGAGAGACAGCAATATACATATTTTTTGAAAGTGTTAAGACTAAATAAAAGTCCATTTAAGAGATCGTGTATAGGTAAGAGAAAGAGGTCCAGGACTGAGCTTAAAACACTCCAGTCAATGGACATCCAGAAGAAAAAACTGGGAAGGAATGGTCTGTGAGAAAGTAGAAAATTCAGGAGGGGGTAGAATCTTAGAAAGCAAAAGAAGAAAAAGTATTTCATGTAACTGGTCAAACATGTAGAGTAGTACCACAGTAGTGTCAAAAAAGGAAAAAAAAATAGACATCTGGATATGGATATTGTGTTTAGTAATACTAAGTGGTCAATACCCCTGCCAGGAGAAATGTCAGTGAAGTAGTGAGAAGCAACACTTTGTAGGAACAGGTTGATGAGAGACCTAGAAGTCAGGAAGCAAAATATTTCCTTCAGATAAAAGGAAAGGAAAAAAATGGGATAGTAGCTGGTTAAGGACCTGGAATCAAGGGAGGATTTTTTCAAAGTTGAGAACTATAAAAACACATTTTGTAAACTGAAAGTTGATCCAGGAGGAAGAGGGGAAATGATGCTTTATGAGAGAGGGATAAAGAGAAGGAGAAGAAACAAGAAAGAGAAAGAGACCATTGTAATGGTGAAGATCTTGAAAAGACAAGAGAATGTGGGATTCAGAGGTCAAGGGGAAGAACTGACTCAAGGTAAGCGGTAACTCAGAAGGAGGTAGGTTGAAAATTATGCTGCAGAGATGAGAAAATTTCTGGTGGCTTTATTTTCTCAGTAAAATATGTATAAAGCATGTCAGAGTGAGTTAATCCAATTGGTTACACCTATAGCATCTCAACAACAAAAAAAGAGTAATGACTGTTTAAGGGAATTTTGCAACTTTAATAGTCACTAATACAAAATATTCAAAGAGTGAAATAGTTTATTGATTTGAGAAAATATGGTAAGATGTCTACAATTTATTTTAAAATACTTTATTATAATGTGTTATAAATTCTGTACTGGACTAAACTTCACTTTAGGGAAGGCAGTTACTTGCTCTAATTAAGATTCCATATCCCATTAGTGGTTAATAGCATTCATTGTGAAAGGCAAAATTCCAGGGTGGCGTCTACAAGTGCCTCTATAATCCATCTTTTGATAAACACTAGAGTGTCAGTATAATGAAAGTCAGAAATGGGCTTTCATTGGCAAAATTAGTAGCTTGTTAATCAGTATAATGAATATAAGTAATCAGCTCTTATTGGTTAAATTAATAGCATTCAATTTATGTAGATGAGATAAAATATTTTAAAGTCTCATCCCATTCTTATACTCCATAATGTATATGTATCTCTTAAAGTCAATAGCCTTTTAACTCTTAGACCTGGTGTCCTAGAATTGATCTTCAAAAGGTTCTGTGTCCAGCTACTGGTAGGAGAATTCCTCATTCCCTGATATCCACTATAGTGTAAGAGTCCTACCTCTGTAATATTATCACATGTCTCTCCAATAAATTTTTCATGCAAAGTAAACATGGGAACATCTAAAAAGACAGGGACTTGAGATTTCATGAAACTTACAAAGGTTGTATGAATTGATTTATGTCTCCTTACCAATATATATTTTTGTAACTATCAGTACATATGGCAGAACTTGGACTGTGACGTATCTGTGATTAAAGAGGCTGTGAAGAAAAAAATAACCCTCATCTAATTCAAACATGTCAGTAGCTTATGTAAGTCTTTTACCAGCGTGAACATGAGTTGTACATAATCAAATTAGTTTACGTCTGTTCACAGTAGATGGTATCCTAGACTCTTTCCTTAAGATCTGCTACACCAAAAGATTCTGTCTGGATAATCCACTCTGGTTCTATTTCAAACACTATCACTTCTTTTCTGTATCTGACATTTGAAATCCTTCAATTACTGGGAGTTACCATCAAAGATGGGTGAAAAAAACACGGATACACCCTACTTCCACTTTATACAAAAGGGATGTGATTTTGTTTTATCCATGTAAATAGTTTTAAGTCACTCGAATAAAGAGAGCTCTGGTTGCAGGACAAAAAGCAAATAACCAAAGAATAATATCTATTACATCAGTAAATGAACAACTTCACATCTCAGAGGAAAGTCACTTTATATATGCAAAAAAAAGTATAAATAATGAACCACTGTCTTTTCATTTTAGTTAATTTTTGCATGATTTTTAATATTGTGTATGACTCTTCTTTCAACCAGATACTCCCATAAGCAAGATAAAACAAAAGAAAAAAAATTACCTCCATGAGAACAAATGTAGTCCAATGTGAACTTTTTGCTACTAAATAAAATGATTAATTGCTTCCTTCCATAGTGAAGGAAATAAAAACTATACCTATATAAATTCTACCTATAACATGTTTCCAAATTAGCTCTCAAGAAAAAATGAACATTGAAGAAGTAGTAATTACTTTTCTAAATAGGCTATATGTCTCAAACAAGAAAAGCTCAAATACATTTTAACACATCAAAAGCAAGCAGTTTATACATAATATTTAAACTCAACACCCATGAAGCCAACCCTATTGCTATTTAAATCTTATAATGAGTTCTCATAACAGAATAAGATCCTAAATCCTTAATATAGCCTGAAAAACCTAGTATAACCTGATTTCTACTCACCTCTCACCTTATCTCATGTTACCACCAACCCTCCAGTAATAATCACTGTCCAGAAATCGTGGCCTCCATCCAGTTTCTGGACTACACCAAGCTCTTCAGTCTCAGATTTGCAACAGCTTTCTGATCTTCCAGTCAGATCACTTTTTACTACTCCTTGAGTCCCAGCTTAAATGTCTTCCTTCACCAGCCCTACCCCAGGTTAAAGTTGTATATTATTTTACATATTAATGTTATATTCTGATACACTTTCTCACAGCACCCTAAATGTTTCCTTCAGAGAATTTATCACAATTTGCAATCATATAGGGAATTCATTAAATATCTTATATGTACATCCCCCAATTTGACTGTCACTTCAGTGGGAACAGTATCTTGATTTTTTTCCCTCAATTGTTGTCCAGCTCTAAATACCATTCCTGGCACAGTGGAGACATTCAGTATATAATTTCTGATGAACAACTAGTTTAGACATTTCTAGTAGAGTATCTGCCACTTTTTAGAAACAAAATAAATGTTTGTGAGCTGCTTATTGATAAAGGCAAAGGCCTGGAATAAATGACAACTCTGTGGAAATTTTATCATAATACATATGTGTTTTGAAGAAGCATTTCCTCAATTTTTATAACAAGATGACACTATTGAGAATGAAGGCAACACCATCTGGATTTTGAAATGAGCTCTTGATTTTTAAATAAGGATACAAATCTTTATTTACTGTCTTCTAACTGTAATTTCTAGTCACTATAATCTGTTTACAGTAGTGTGACAACGCTCTGATTAAACCTGCATTTCTGCTGTGGACATTTGACATGTTGGGTGACTGAAAAATAGGGCCTCAGATAAATGTAGCAGTAGAATTTTGTTTTGTGTTTTGTTGCAAATCTTGATTGTTCAGAATAAATGGACATTTCCTATAATTAGACCCATATAGTAAATAACATCATTCTCCTTATGAATTATTTGTATTTATCCACTTTTACAATTACTCCATATGAAGCCCTCCATTGTTTCTAATAGTTTAAAAATCTCTGATTGGTAAAACAAAACAAAAATACACTGAAGAATCTATTTGTTATTAGTTAGGCAGGGCCGGTGGCTGACTTTATTTTGCTTTTGTACTGGTTTTAATGGCATTACAATACCACAGATTTTAATGCTTGTAGGTAGAATTTATGTAAAATGTTACATGAATCTGCAGATGATCATGTGACTTTCATGAGATTCTCTAAGAGATTACATTCAAAAGGCTTGAGATTCCTGTTGTCAATATACTTGACAAAAAAAGAAAGAAAGAGTTTTAAGTAACTCTTACATAAATTGTGTGTTCCGAAACAGGATCCAGACCAGCATTTATGCTCATCACACCAGAACTTTCCTGAAGGTGATTATATGATTCAGGTATGCTGCATCTAAACCAAAGCATTTTAACAATCCAAAGAAATTTATTCTAGTGATTGTAATATTCATTTTTAATTTGATCTCTAGGATAGGAGCTGGGAGAGAAAGAGAGAGGAAAGAAAGAAGGAAGGAAAGAAAAAAAGAGAAAGTTTGACAGATCTTGTTATGAACGAATATAATGCTTAAACACATTCCCAAAGCCTACCTTCTGTATACCAAGGTGTTGCGTGAGGAAGCCATTCTTTCTCTCCACGGCAAAATGACTTGTAATCAGGACAGCAATCAGAATTTTCCCTTTCACAGAATGTATCACAGTAACACAGTGCATTCACTTCATAGAACTGAGTGACACAGCCGTCATCTCTGTCTTCACAACAACCAAAACTTCTACAGTATTGCCCTTTGTAAATGGCTCTTTTGAATCGAGTACCTTCCAAAATGGTGTGATTCCTAGTGAAATCAGCTCCTGGGTCAACTTCTCTTTGAGATAAATACTGTTTCTCCGCCCAGATTTCTGTAATTAGGTGAGAGACGATTAAGATCTTATATCCGATCCACATTCTCTAGAGGTCTGGTATGGCCCCCACTTTCTTGTTATAGCCAATATATAACTTCTTGAGACTTCTCCTCAGAGTCTGATTTCTAATCATCAAGACAGCTCTGCCTGATTCCTGAAACTGCTCCTTTACTTGAACTGAGTATACTTCTTGAAGTTAAACATTAATCAGGAATTTAAATGTTTTCCCAAGATAATATGTGTTAGAAATAGACCGTTGTTGGTCCCCCAAAGTTAAAAATTTATATTTCATATCATAAAAAAGTTCATCACCATAAAAATAAATACATAAAATCTTATGCATAGATAATGCACTGAATATTGCCTGCCTCCAAAAAATCTAGATTAAATAAAAAACCTCTTTGGCATACATATGATCCAAATTATGGTTTCAATAACCACTGGCAAGGTGTAGAAAATTCAGAAGTCAAAATCACAATTGTTTACTTCAGCTACTTCAACTAAAATCCAGGCTGTCATGAGTTTGCCTGCTAGGTTCTTTCATATCAGTAACAGTTGCTCTAAGTCATGCCCAGTCACACACGGGCTTTATTTACCATCTGTACTCCATTTACCTACCAGAAGCATTACCTACCAGATGTCAAGGTTTAGTGGAGCCTAATTCAGCTAGAAATTCCCAGAGGGTGACAGTTCTCTCCACCTGAGTCCCTACTTGACATCAAGGTAGAAACCTGCAGTATCTGAAAGGCAGTTTATAATTAAGAAAAGTCAACATGCCGTGCTAAAGAGCTGCCAGGGGTGGGAGTCGTGAAGGAATCTCAAAGGTCAAAATGTCCTTAGTGTTTCGGTAGAGCTGTGCATCTACAGTAAGATTTTCTGTGCTGTATTTATTCATTAACTATAATAACTCCCTTTGGATTGAGGGTATGAAACTAGCAGATGATGATTCAGCAAAGGTGGTTGGGTGGCCTAGTGGAAAAGACTTGTCTTGACAATCAGAAAACTTGGACTCTGCTCCCTGAGCTACTGTTTAATTGGCTTTATGATCTAGGGTTCGTAATTTGTTTCTCTGGTCCTCACTATTTTCCTATAAAACGAGGGTCTTCCTCTTCAAGGCTAATTCATAATTCCGACCCTTTAAACTTCTTCCTTGAATTTGCTCCAGAAATTATTCAACTCACACTTTTAACTTCGTTGTTGTACTTTCTTCTGGCTCCTAATCTTTTTTTGTTTTAATTTTACATTATCTTGGCATTTCTCTAAAATCTCCATCTCTCCAACCCCAAAACTGCTGCCTCCACTTCCTTGTCATGCACTGAGTCACTAAATTACTGCTAAGATCTGCCTATATTCCCATCTACTTTCACCAATGACCTAACACCCAATTCCCATAAACCTGTATTCATCTTTATCTTACATGAATCTTCTTCAGCATTTAGCCTGTATAACAGCTTTCTTAAGAACAGAAGCCTAAGAGTTAGACTAATGGAGTTCATAACCTAGTTTCATCACTAACTATAGTATGTCTGGGAAAATGGCATAGTCACTCTATGCCTCAATTTCCTCATCTACAAAATTTGAACAATAATTTTCTATTGTATCAGGCAGATGGAAATTTAAATGAAATACACAAAATATTTAGCACATCACCCAAACTAAATAAATGTTAGTTATCATTAATAAGTGTACTATCCACCTAGAAACTCTTTCCTTCTTTGCCTTCTATGCTTTTATTCACTCCTAATTCTCTTCCCATTCTCCATATTGCTCTCAATTTATCTGCATACTCAGGGACTCACTTTCTTCCCTCCCAATGGTCATTTAAAATATGTTTTCACTAACATTCTCAATCTTTCCCCTCCCTGGTCCTCATACCTCATCTTCTCTCATAACTTCTAGTACTAAATCACCCTGAAAGCCATGGGCCAGAAGACTGTATACAAAGTGGACCTCCAAACTTGTTGCCTCTCTGACCTCAATTTAAACCACTTTACATCTTGCTCATATTGGTCTAGTAATTACTCTAGCCTTCTTGCTACTCCTCAACATGCTAGGCAAACGCCTATGTTAGAGCCTATGTAGTTGCTGTTTCCTCACTTGGAACATGCTTCCCAGATATTCGCATGGCTCCATATCTCACCCCTTTGAAGTATTCTTTCAAATACCTTCTCAGAGAAGTGGTGCCCATATCCCCTATCTAAAATTATAACCCACTTCAACAATCCTGTCCCCATTCTCTATGCTTTTGACTAATACATTATAATTTTATTGATCTTACTTATTTTCTGTATTTCTTTTCCAGAATATAAGATTTTAAAAATCATAGAACTTTGTCTATTTGTAATTTCTGTTCATTGTTCTATCTTCAGCACTCAGTGCCTGACACGTATTAAGCATTCAGTAAATATTTATTCAATTAATGAATGAATTTACAATTTTCATCTGCCCCTGTACCACATCTACTGAATACTATTGGAGATGCTCCATTAGGCCACAGAATTGGCACTACTACATATTTTTGGATATTTATCACAACTAAGCTCTTAAATACTGCTTATATTTTTTATACTTGTCTCCCATTTCCCTCAGTAGCTATTACAAACTTTGCTTTCCTAACTTACTAGAGGTTATCACTCTCTTGACCTTCTCACAGAAGTTATCAAGAAAACAAAGAAGCAAATGTTAATCCCACCCTTTCCTGTCATCAAACCCATAAACTTATCTATGCTCGCAGTCATCCTTCCCATCTTCCTTCTAGTCTCAAAAGATGAGATGTCATCCTGTTCTCAGACAATTCTTCCACTTATGACTTTTAGTCTGCCACCATTTATTTTATTCCTTCGCTTCTCTTGGTTCCTATCCATCTTCAACCTCTCTCTCATCCAATTCCTTCAGTCTGTTCATTGGATTGTAGCAGATACTGTTGTCGCCCTGCCAATATTCCCACCAGCCTTAGCATTTTTGAACAAGCTAACTGAAATTCCAGCTTTGTGAGTTATTGATAAGAGCCCACTCCTCCCCCTATCCCACTGCAAAACAAGCCAGCGTGCTGAAGAATTAACACCCTCCCTGTAAGCCAGAAGCAGCTTTTATACAAGGCCTAGAGGACTTGATATATAAGTATCCCACTGTCCATACTCTTGGATGCGTTACTTCAGATGTCCACACATGCATATCCCTCATGTTGAGGTCAGAGTGGGAGTTCCATAGGCAGAAGAGATTGACTGACAGTGGTGCCCTAACTTATTTGTTTGCAACTCACTTTTTTTGCAGTTCAATACTGCAGCTTATCACTATGTGGTAAATGTTATCTACCAATTGTAATATCTCACTTTAATTCACCCTCTCTAAATTGAAAAAAGCTTTATAGCCCTGCAAAGGAACTTCACAATGAAAATGACATATCGACACAAGAGTTACTGCTAACATATTTCTTTAGACCGGTGCTTTTCAATAGGAGGTAACTATGCCTACCAGGAGCAGTTAGCATAGTCTAGAGACAGGTGACATGAACATCTAGTGGATAAAGGCTAGGGATGCTGCTAAACATCGTAGAATGCATAGGTCAGAACTCACAACAAAGAATTTTCTGGCCAAAGTGTCAATAACAACACTGTTGATAAACCCAAATTTATACATCTTACAAAAAAATATTTTTAATTAACAAGAAATCAGAAAGAAATTAAAATACCGTATTTACTTGCAACTGGGATTTATATAAAGGTTGATCAGATGGACATCCAACAAATAGTTGCTTTGAGATACTAACTAATGACAACAGTGCACATAAACTAGAGGTGATCTCTCAAAAATTTTGGGTGCAGTGAATGTATGACTACCAAGGTTAGGGTCCACCATGCCACACCCTCTTCCATTTGACCATTCTCCTTGGATGAGAGACAGTTTAGATGAGACGAAAAGTGCCACATTCCCTCTTCTTGTGATTTTTACAACCTCCATTGCACAAAGAACAATGGAGGAAATCAGCAGCCTTAAAGATTTTTCCTTGGAGGGAATGAAGCCAATCGAACAACTTTTTAACACAAGATTTTAGCTGGATGCTACATAAATAAACCAGACTCTGGAATTTTTAATCAGGTTTATAATTGGAAGTTTAAATAGGCAAAATGTAAACTTAAAAAGGGAGAGAGAGAAAAAGAGAAAGAGACAAAACAGGAAGGTGGGCTTGCTGAAAACAGTTTATCTTATTGGCTTAAATTCTATCACTAGAGATTTATTTCTTTGAATTACAGAGTTTGCAAAAGTGTACTGTGGTAGTAAGTGCTCTTTGGTGAGGTAACTTAAATAATGTGAACTCACCTTTGAGAGTTTGGGGCTTGATCCCTTCGCCTTGACAGGAGATCCAGAATGGTCTCGGGAGCACTGAGAAAGACTGGTGAGGATTATAAGAAAAGGATAGGGAGAAGATTTGCTGAAAATGAAATGCTCTTTCTTCACATATTGGGCTATCAAGTAATTATTTGAAGCCACCTTCTTATTTCTACTCCACTTAGTCAATTTAAATTTTATAATAAAGGATTTCAATGAAACATAAAGAAAACTTTTGAGTATAAGGTGCAGTGTCTTTGGATTAAGCTGCTGAGAAAGACTAGAGGATTTTACACATTATAATTACAATATATATTTGTATACATATATATATATCTTATAATACACAATACATATTGTTACTGTGTGTATATATACTCTTTTGACCCTTGCAATAACTCGTGATGGCAGAATTACTATTATCCCTATTTTAGTTTTTACAGATGAAGAACTAAGACTCAAATGATTACATAAGGCCAAAGTCAGTGATGGAGTGTGTGACTCCAAGCTTGGCTCATACTTTCCTTCCCCATCTTACCTTTCTGTCTAACTGTCCATTGAGTTCTCTTGACTAAAGCCTGGCTTCAGCCCCTGACAAGAATAATCTTTCCAGATCCTTTTCCAACTCAGTGATTCCTGAGGTGTAGAGAATGTAGAAGAGGGTGGAGATCTAAGGAAAGATCATAGAGTTTTTCACTGATCGGTTATACATTGCTAAAACACTCAAATGAAACTCCACTTTTCTGTAGAAGTTTACAAATTAATGCAGATTTGGCTTCTAATTATACATTGATGAGAAAATTGAAAAAAAAAATTAAAACTTAGTAGATCTATAAAATGGAAAAGAGAATCTTGCAACAGCTCCCTAACAGACAATAGTTCAG